AAAATATATATATATATATATATATATATATTGGAAAAGATGGCAGTTAAGTAACTTTACACTTTACAGCTCCTATTAACACATTATTTCATAATAAAACAATTGTATGTCAAGGTACTTATAGTCTTACAAATTATTTGTTACCGTAAAGCGTATACTTACCGTCAGGTGGTACAATGGAAACCACACGATGTGTGTAAAATCCATCAAACATACATTATTCATTCAAAATAAATAACGCGTATTTACAGTAGGCACAAAGCACCATAAGGATACCCACGCTAGGCGGTAAGCATTAATTAAACAACAAAAAATAAAAACCTAAAACACTTCAGAGTACATAACTGACTGGAAAAAAAAAGTACGAACTACCGTTGAGTTTTGTGTGACAAATGTGATGGTTCGCGCAGGGAATTATGTGAATTCCCTTTTCATCAACTGCACTCTAAGCCAGCTATTTATTTATTGCTTGCGTAGTGCTTTACACAGTTTTGCGTAGGGCCCCCAGAAGTCTAGGATCGGCACTGTATATTATTATTATTTAGATTTCATTTCAGCAAACTGTCTTAAATCTGATGGCTGAATTCTGGTTTAGACGAGGAAGGCGGCCACCATCGAGCGTCGCTGACTCTTATGAATGAAGAGCGCTTAATGAATGGAGCTCGTAGCAGACGTCATCTCCATTGTGACGTCGCGATCCTTTTATGGAGCGCGCGTCTGAAGCCCATTCATAAAACGGAAAGAGAAGAGCCTGTGGTAGTAAAGCTCTCAGGAGGGTGACACAACATTACACTGCGCACTGGCAACGCTGGATTTGACGTATTGTTGTTATTAAACCACCATTTGACCTTGACCAGTCCCCGTCGGAGGAGGAAAATGGTCACAATGGACGAACTTTGTGAAATGGATTGCAGCGTTTTGAAGAGGTTGATGAAGGACGACAGTGCGAAATGTCTGCTTTTGGACTGCAGGTCGTTTCTGGCGTTCAGCGCCGGTCACCTCCGCGGTGCTGTAAATATTCGCTGTAACACGATAGTTCGGAGGCGAGCGAAAGGCTCCGTGAGTTTGGACCAGATTCTGTCCGGTGATGATGAAGCGAGAGCCCGTCTGAAATCAGGGCTGTACTCCGCCGTGATCTTGTACGATGAGCGGACCTCCGATACAAACACTATGAAAGACGACAGCACAATCACCCTGGTACATAACGCTTTGTGTAGGGATACGTTTAGGACAGAAGTCTATCTGCTAAAAGGTAATTCAAATCTACGCTACACAAAAATCTATTGCGCTTTTGTATTTCTTAACGCAACTGTAGCCTACTATCTGAAAGAATGCTGCCGTGTTCTGATAAAATATCTGTTTTCATTGTGGTCATCGGAGCTCTAAGATAATGATGTAATGTAGATTCATGCCATTTTCTCTGCTGGACAGTCCAGTTTAAGATAGTTGCTGTTTTTTGGAACACTCTGGTCTAAGCTTGTCCAGGCTGGTTATTCGCTGCGTGACCAGTTAACATGTTCCAACTTGACCACCTTGAGCTAGTATGACCAATTAGAAACTAGCCCCAATGTTCTGAAGAAACCTGGATCATGACAATAATTTTCATCTGTTTCTAATTTTAGTTATTTTACACACCAACTATTTAATATGCTTCACATTTCTTCTATAGAGATTCATGCATTTTATTATTTAGTAGGCCTTTTACATTGTGTTAAATGTATTCAAAATGTCATAAATGTATGGCTTGTCCGAAAAGAGTGCGACCTCAATAAAACAATGAAATCATTCCATTCAAGTATAAATTAGGGGAAATTAAATTCATTTGCCTGATCTTAGATTGCTGGTTCTAAAAACCCCTGTAAACAGCCAACAGCCCAATTAACCAGCTTTCTTTAAGCAGGAGACCGTTTGAGCAAATGTATCGAAAATATATTTTTTTTTCACTTTCTAGGAGGCTACGACAGATTTTCCACACAGTATCCCGATTACTGTTTGAAAACCAAAACACTGGCAGTATCCAGCCCTCAGTCGAGTGTGGAGAGCAGCTGCATCTCCTGCAGAACTCCACAGCATGACCAGGTAACTACATTAGCAGCAGTGTATACTTTGAGGTCAGCTAATGGGCAGCATTGTGTAACATTAAACGTCCTGTTGACTGCTGTCCATCCGCTGCTCTTTCCGGCTGATTTGGCAGTGCTTTAGAGTGCGTTCGTCCGGCCTTCCTCTGTGATAGGGGGTGTATTGTGTCAGACACTCCAGAATGCTTCAGTGTTGATTCCCACATCGATCATTTCCTGTCTCTACAGCTTGTTAAGCAGGCCACCGATGACATAACAGTGGGCCAAATCAATATGCATTTCCAGAATAAATAAACTGGACGTTATTAGCATGACCTTTTTATAACAAACAGAGGTGTAAGTGGTTTGATGCTGTAGTCTGCTGCAATGCTTTTGATAATTTATTGCTAGAGACCTGTGATTTCATGAATATAATGACAAATGAATAAAACCATTTATCTTTTAATTAATAAATACATTTATTATTATTATTATTTACATGTATTTAATATTCATTATTCAAATTTTTTGTCACTTTTTTATTACAGGGTGGCCCTGTGGAAATCCTCCCCTTTTTATTTCTTGGCAGTGCCCTCCATGCATCTAAAAAGGACATGCTAGATCATATGGGCATTTCTGCTCTATTGAATGTATCTTCAAATTGTCCGAACCATTTTGAAGGGGATTACCAGTATAAGTGTATCCCGGTGGAAGACAACCATAAGGAGGACATCAGCTCTTGGTTCATCGAAGCCATTGAATTTATAGGTATGGTCATTATTATATTAAATTATTATATATATAATGCGTATATTTTTTTTAAATTATATATAGATTTGTTTGATTTTGTAAATTGGGGTTTGGATGGTTAGGGTAGGTGTACTCGTAAAGGTGTAAATTAGTCTTGGTTGTTATGGCTCCTTTCAACTGCAAATGATGTGCAATTCATCAGCAATTAAAACGATGATCTGCATTGCAGAGCTTTTACAAGAATTACACCCTCCTTTTTAGTCTCGCATCCATTTCAACAGCTTCAACATCTTGGCCATCTATGCATGTAGCATGAAGAATATGTTTGAATGTGTTTTGACGTAAAGAGTTCTTTGATAAATGCGATGATGAGAATTGAAGTCCGTGTGTCATAGGTGCAAAATACGTGATGAATTCTGTGGTATGGGTGGGTCTTCCTCATAAAAGGGTTTCCGTGACTGAGCGAGGGGGTGGGGGATCCTGTATATCCAATTTCAGCTCAGCATCCTCTGCACTAAAGCAAGGTCCCCAAGTAGGTTCACCGCATTTGATCGCACCATTCTCGATGTGTGTGTGTGTGTTTGTGTGCATGTTCTTGAATGTATGCGTCAGAGTGCAGAGCTTAGGGACCAGAGACTGACTCATCCTCCATTCAGGGGTGCCTTGATACTGGAGTTACCTCAGATCTGGGTGCGTATGGCTGTGCAAAGGCGTATACACAGACAGTAAAGTGCACAGGAAAAAGTAATCTGAGTAATGGTTGGATATACGTGCTTCCTCTCCCTTTGTACCATGGACATGCCACTTTTTTGTTAATTAGCAGCTCGTTAGTAATGGCAGCAGGTGCCTGTGTGGTGAATGGTGTGAAATCCACCCCAGAACATTTTGCTTGGGTGTTGAGTGTTTGTTGTCCAACTGTGGCTGTCAGCTTTGGGTGAATGTGTAATTTCCAGTTCTGTGTGTATTTCTAGATATGCATTGTCCTTATTATTGGTCGTTTTGAGTGGTAATAATACGTACAAATCACAGCTCATTGTACATAGCAAACTGTTAAACTGGCAACAGGGATATTATAGTCTTGAAAATGTTTTTTATTACCTATTTTTTTGTATTAAGTTTTATTTTAGATTTGTTTGTACATTTAATTTGTATCTTTTTAAAAATGACTAGTTATTATATTAAACTGCGATTGGTTGTTTTGCATGTCAATCAGTCAGCCTCTTGTTTGATTGGATGGGCTTTTTGACGCAAGTGAGGCATGGAAGATAATTAAATCAGGCCATCCAAGGTCAATAGAAAATGAGAACACTTAAGTATTTTCTCTGTAAGGTAATAGTTTAATTAGTAATTTGGTCAACTTATATGCTTTCAATCTAGTTTTCTCTGTTTTGCAATCTCCTGTCCTGTTTCCTGCACCATTTACAGAGGTGACTCTACTAAATTTCAAGTGCAAATGTCAAAAAAAGATTGATTGGGTGTTTGCACTCTAAATTGAATGAGATAATAAACAATAGCAAGAAAGATGTTTTGTACTGAGTTCCCTTCGCAAGCTGCATGCAAAACCAAACATAACCTATGCCACGACCAGCATTGTTCGAGTCATGAAAAAATGTTTCATTTGATTCAAATGATTCGGTTCGTTTAATGAATAGTTAGTAAAAAAATTGGCAAAGTCAAGTTACTGTTTAAATCAGTCCGACAAATTGTTCACTGAATGAACTGTGTGAAAAAATGAAGAGCATGAGTCTCAAAATGACAAAAATGTAATAAGAAAATATAATAATAAAAATAAGAACAGCAATAATACAAATATATATTATTATTTTTAAATGCATATTAAAATGTGACTTCTGAACCTGCATCAAAATGTTGCGGGCGTCAGCTTCACAGTAAATGCACTAGGATGACTCATGTAACTAAACTCTCTGCTCTTTCCTCAGACTCCATCAAGGATTCCAATGGTCGTGTTCTGGTGCACTGTCAGGCTGGCATCTCACGGTCAGCCACTATCTGCCTGGCGTACCTGATGAAGAAGAAGCGTGTGCGCCTGGAAGAGGCCTTCGAGTTTGTTAAACAGCGGCGCAGTATCATCTCCCCCAACTTCAGCTTCATGGGTCAGCTACTGCAGTTCGAGTCTCAGGTGCTGGCCACTTCCTGTTCTGTAGAGGCCACCAGCCCTTCCGCCACTCTCGGGCCCAAGTCTTCCTCCACCCCCACATCGCCCTTCATCTTCAGCTTCCCAGTGTCAGTAGTGACGCACAGCCAGTCCAGCAGCCTCACCTACCTACAGAGTCCCATCACAACCTCACCAAGCTGCTGATACAGCGCAAGACTGAAAAAACTGCTCACGAACTCAAGAAAGGGTGAATTTTTCAGACGTTCTTCACTTGGCACAATCATGTGGTCGTTCCAGCTGAGCTGCACCTTTTTTTTTTTTTACGGCTTCACTGGTGACCCGTCCTCATCTAACTCACCCTGCAGTCTTCACCACACATTAATATCAGAAGAATTCATCGTAATATCCTGTGGGGACTGTTCATCTCCTTCATTTCCTGTGGTTCACTTCCAAAGACTTTGCGATTGGCCGGCAGGGCTGGTGGGAATGAAGAGCAGGAGGTCCTTCGACCCTGACAAGTTCTTCACATTGCGTCTGGACTTCCCATTGATCACTTCCTCTCACCGGCCTTCCTGAATTCCTTTAATAGAGACGATCGTGGCATTACCTTCGGCAGGAAGTGTCTTTCATCGAGTTGGTTTTGCATTTGTCAGTGCCTTGTACAGAGAAGGTACACAGACACTTTCACAAGACGCTTATGTCGCCTTTCTTTCAGACTGATCGCGAACAAGACATTCAAAGCATTTCAATCTGCAATACAGATCCGTTCCTGTCACAGATCAGAGCAATAACTTGATTCTCCTTCCTCCCAATCACCACCAAAGCACTGTATGGTCTGTTTTTTTGTATTTTGAAATGTGTATATATTGTGTGAAAATGATTTGAAACGTTTGGTTTTCTTTGGTAGTTTGTACTGAGGAGATCTTATGAATTATTTCTGCTGTATGCCTTCCCAACTATGACTTCCGCACAGAATGTTCTCATTAATAGACTATTTAACAAATAGTGTAGGATAAATCTGGGTTGTACACTGAACCTTTTTACACTGGAAGTTGGGAATGGGACGATTGGGAAGCCACTTTCCATTTGTTTTGTTTTTAATATTCCCCTTTGAAAAGCTCTGTGAGGGAAACATGCCTTGAAGAGTCCATATAGCAGCTGGTTTATGTGTGGGGACCTACTACTTTTTTAAAATGAGATTGTGGGTGCCTTTTATAGCACTTTTAAGTGATGTAAAATTGATTTGAGGTTTGTTTTGCACCTCGCCGGAATTGAAGTTGTAACCTGGCAGCGCTTCCCACTCTTTTTTGGCATGTTAAGTGGTTTGTCTGTCAAACACTGATGAGATGAATGCAATACTTTTTACTGTACTTGTGAAATGTTATTGTCTGATGACTAATGGCAATATCATACAGAGGGTTACGATTTTTTGAACTCTACCCTGTTCTGTTGTATTATATGTACATTTTATTTATCTCACAATTGTCATTAAATACAAACTCTGTTATTTAACCCTCTACCGCATGGTGTGGCCATATGGCAACATGGTCTTTGTGTTCATTTCCTTGCCACTGTCTCTTTAAGAGAACATTCTCGTTTTTTTTGTTGGAAAGAGAAGACCTTAGTTTAGCCAATGATGCGCTTTGGGTAAATGTGTGGCGTGATTAATTGTAGTATAGACGAAAAAAGCTACAGACGATGAATCATATTTTGCTGTATAGCAGTAGGCCTGTAAGTAATATTGCAATCATTTTGTAAAATGAATATAACATGAGCCATCTCATTATTTCTTACACGAACTAAAGAGAAGACAGAAAAGAATATCGCGCGCTATTGTGCAGCAGAAAATAATTAGTATTATATCTGATAAATGAGGGAAGGATTTTGAATAGATTGAAAAGAGGTTGTTTTTGAAGAGCCACAGCGCCTCCTAGCGTGTGTTCTGATTTCACGTCACCGTCAATTCTGACTCATAGAAACAAACCATCCTTCCCACTCATTTCCCGAGAAGTTCGCTGAAAAACATTGAAATAACAGCGGCTTCCTTGACCAGAATCCACATAACCCTCAGTGACACGCTGCAGCAAAACTGCAATACGTTGAAAGCAATTAATTTACATATATTTTCATTAAATGTTAAAATTATGCTGAATTAGAAACTGAAATGTTACATAGCAACAAGGCACACAATATGGTCACTGCTTATGGACCATTGTTGACTATTTGCGGTAATATTAAAAGCATTTTTTGTTACACATTTAGTACATAATTACATCATAGTCGTGAAGCCTTTAAATTATGTTTAATGTAGCCTAATGTGAAGTAAAAGTAATACGCGGCGCTCTGAGAAACGTTTAGGCCTTCTAGGATTGAACAGTTTTTTTTTAACCTGATAGTTCCAGGTTTTTCATTTTACTTAAAGGGGTCATATGATGCGATTTCATTTTTTCCTTTCTCTTTGGAGTGTTACAAGCCGGCACTGTAGGCCTCTATGGTCAGGTACTTTACAGGGGTTCAGTAAAGTACGTGGATGTTATTATTATTATGACTACGATGTAATTTTACAACAATTAAGGCCCAGCAGACTTACTTAAATTAAGCATATCACACACACACACACACACGAAAATAAAAAGTTTGTTTTTATTTTTCACATTTTTATTTTATTTTATAATTTTTTTAAACAAGCATTTAAAAAAATATTATCTGATATATTTAAATGATACATAATTTTTTTAAATAAAAAAAACAAAACAATGAAACTGAGTAAGAGTTCAGAAAGTGTGAGAAAAGACAGCAGACAGTATTAATGACATGTACTTTATTAACACCTTTTTACATGATTGAGGAGTGTTTGATTAGTCCGAAGATGGCTTATGGTAGACAAGCCGTTTCTGATTAAAGTTCACAGGAACATGGAAATGAAGTAAAAATACAGCTCAAAGAATTGAGAAATAGTTCAGGAGTTGGTCTCCCAAATATTGGCTTGGGGGGGAGCAGTGGACATGTCTGTGCTCATACTACTAAGAGAAGAAGAAAGGTCTGCTCTCTTTCTCTCTGGTTTGAACACACAGAATCCTGGAGTAAGGCAGATGACCTCCAGTACACAAGTCCAGAACCACAAACTACACCTGAGCAAAGCAACCAAACCATGAGACTTTCAGAGGTAGAGCCGCGTTCTTCATTTCATTCTGTAACATGAATGCGAGTCAGCCGAGCCTCTGATATCAGTAGTGTGTAACAGGAAAAGCGTTACGGAAACCCTCGTAAAAGAGGCGTTTCTCTGATGCCAGAGAAACAGGACTGGAATGAACACGACTGAGGAATTCTTGTGGTTGTGATCCAAAACATATCGAAAGCAAAAGCAGCGACTTCCAAAGCGAAGTCATTTGGTCGTCCAAAAATATAGAAGGAATGATCTGAAAACAAGAATTCCCACTTCCTTTACAGTACTAATAAAACCCACTCTGCATCAGTAAACAACATTAAAAGCTATACAAAGGCATTGTCCATTACACAACCTGTACATTACTGGACATTTTTTAAAATTAAACTTAAGACCTGCTTAAAAGTGCAAATTCTTTAAAAGATGCATTTTGGGCTATGGCAATGGAATGGGACATTCTGACCAGTATTCCTGTGCAAAGATATGTTAAAAAAAAAGGAATAAAAGCATACAATTTTTGCTATTTTGTGGTCAAAGGTCTTTTGAATAGTTCTGATTTCTGCATCAACATTCCTTTTGCTTTAAAACCCCTCTAAGGCTTTTCTTTAATAATGCATAAAGAAAATTAAAACCACAACAATGAGATTTTCAGGGTCTTCAGCTAACTTCAATAATGGAAAGGAGGATTGCTGAAATGTCAGGTCCCTTTGAGACGTGGTCCATTATTGTGAATCAAACAGATGAAAATACAACAGAAAGGTAATTAATCACAGTAATAGTAAAACCATTTCAAAGAAAGGAAGTTAATGCTTGAACAGTGTTAAATTGAATAGAATGATGGGGAAGAGGTCACTTGTTGTCTTTCACGGAGCAGGCGAGTCCTTTCGTTTAGCCCTGAAACAGCATTATGGCCGATATCCCGACCCTTGACCTGAAAAGGAAGGCCAGGACACGGCCAGCCAAGGCAACTCTTTCTTGTAAACACTCACAGGGACATAAATGGAGCCTAACTGCAAATTAAAGAGGCAGCGCAGAGGTTTATGGGTGAGCGGATGTGATTCCTATCATGTGAGGAGGCGTCTGTGGATGTGTGTGAGATGTTTGGGTAACAGTCTGAGCGTTTCGCAGGGCCGCCCGTGTGGACTAGGACTTCTGCTCCGCTTCTGCCGGGGATGGAGGTGTGCTGTCTGGCTTGATGATCTGGTATATGATGAGGTACTCTGGGAAGGCCTGCAAAAACACAGAGTTGGAAATGAACCAAATATCTACTACCTGAAAAAATGTGTTTGTTTTTGCCGTTGTTAAATATCTGAGCTCTCTCACCTGTTCCCCTCGGTAGATGACATATTCGGCGTAGGCTAACCCGTTGACGCTGGGACGGCCGATGACGGAATGATGCCCTGGAGGAGCGTGGGCCATCTTCATGGCACTGAACTGCAAGAAGGATTTACCCAGAGTCACCCGGCAAAACAGCAGCTGTCTGCAAACAGCACAATTTGCAATAAATAATAAGATAACATTATATTTGAATGAAATTATGAAAAAAAAAATATATAAAATAACAAATATAATTATATTTCATTATTTTCTCTCTCCACACACACACACACAAAACATTTTATTTTAATTACTAAATTACTATTGTATTTTACATTATATATAATTTATATTTTTCTATATTATATTTATATATATATGATACACACACAAATGACAAATACACACACGCACACACACACACACACACACTTATATATATATACACACGCATATAGAATACAATATAATTTATATTTATAAATTAATGTATAACTTATACACAATTACAGAGCACAATTACATTTGCAATAAATAAAATGATATAATTACATTTTAATAAAAAAATCACAGTACAATTTAAAATATAATAATTTATAATAACAATAATAATGAATAAAATATATATTAAATACGAATACCTATTAATTTTATTTAATAGGATCAAAACTTAAGTACAGTTTTATGTTTGTGTCAATAAATGATTACATAAAAGTACACAAGATCCATGGACAGTTTCAGAATAATTTGTAATGCAATAACATTTAAGAGTTGTAATAAATATTAATGAGTTTCATTAATTTTAAGGCATTTCATTTTATACTTTTGAGTAGTTTTGGGTCAACTTCATGTCCAGTGTTACATCCGGGTCCTAAATCTGAACTAGTTGAGAAGCACTGGTTTATATTATACACAGCACCATCAGCTGGTCATGTAGGGTAAGTGCTCCAGTATTTCATTCATAAGCAACCCATCAGATTCATATCAGAGCTAGTCTAGGATCTCTTGTAATTATCTTCAAGAGGAAGAAACAGATGTGTATGTACCTGTGACAGATGTAACAGGAGCGGTCTTTATGTGTGGGGCAGCCTGTCCCTCCTCCGATGCCGTACACATACTGGTTGCTTTTAGAGGAGTTCTCTGCAAAGTAAATCCCTGCTCCAAACATCCCCCCTATGTAAGCGTGCCTCTCATCAAACCCTTTATGAATGATGGCGTTGATGAACGGTGACCCTGTAGATTAAGAGAAAAAGGAAACTGATCATCCTTAGGTAAAAAAGCGGGAAACTGGAATTACATTCTTTGAAAGAAGCCTTTGAGTCAGAAATGGGGAAAAAAGGTTCTTTTGTAGATTAAACTTTCCCAAATAGCACTTCTGACAGGTCATTCATCTCGTGACAGTACCGTGAAAGAGCATGCGCTCGTTGTGATGGTTGTGGTTCTCGTCTGTGATCTCCTTCTGTCTGTGTGCGTAACGCTCCCTCAGCTTCTTGTTCACCACCTTTTGAATCTGTACCAACAATGAACAAAGTTCTGACATCAGCGCATACAGGATCAACAGACATTCAAACTATTAACTAATCAAAGATGTCTAGTATTAATGTAAATACTCATACTCACCTTCAGGATGTTGTATCTGCTGAAAACACCCCCAGCATTGCCACCATCCCTGTGCTCTCTGATCGTACTTTGCAGCTGTAAAACCAAAAAATTATATAAAACACAAATCATGTTACATTACGAAAAATGTAAGAACACACAGCCCTTCAATAGGACTTCAGTTTTATCACACAGTAAAATAATTAAATAAATAAAAAAAGTAAAATAATAAAATAAGACTACAAATAAGTTATATAAGACTTTCAAATTATAACAAACACTTCAATGTAATAAGATTAATTAAATAAAATAGTAAAATAAGATAACAAAGTTATAATTAGATTAAGTTATAATTTTCCATTGCATACTAAAGTAAAATGAAATAAGACAATAAATGATAACTTATTACACACAACAAGAATTAAAATACCAAATGAAATAAAATAGTAAAATAAGATTACATAATAAGTTATAACTTTTCACATAATAAAATAATATAACATAAGACTACAAATAAGTCTATCATTTATAACTTACATACTGAAATAAATTAAATACAATTAAAAAATAAAATTAGACCACAAATAAGTTACATACGAATATAAATAAGTTATAACTTATTGCATACTAAAATAAAATAAGACCACAAATAAGTTATAATTTGTAGCACACACCAAAACAAAATTCCTTAATAAAATAAGTCTACAAATAACTTATATAAGAGTTATAACGTTTACTGCACACTAACACTACAAATCACATTCCTTACAAAAAAACTATGATAAAAAAAAAATCAATTTAGTTGTTGTTTATGCATATGTCTAAATGTATCTAATTTATAGCGCCACCAGAAAAAATGATAAAATAAAAAGAAAGCCTAAAAAAGTATCTATACAAACTATTCAACCTCAGTAATTGACTGGTCAGTTTCTAGACAACTAGTTGTCCATCAGACCCATCCCTAACAGGTGCTATATATCATTTAGCTCTTACCAAACTCTTTATCTTAGCACAGATGAAATACTGACCAATCAGCTTTTAGAAGCAGAACTATTCATGGAATCATATGGTTTTATAATATGATCTGCTGATTTGGATTCCGCTCTCACCTCCTCCTCTACCGACTGAAACTCTTTGTCATCAGGGGCCAGGTCGATCAGCACCGTGCCCTGACTCGCACAGTGGAATGTCAGGTATGGGTTGGCACCTGTAATGGAAGCACACCAACACATAAAACTAGAAGGTACCTCAGTACGCTTTGTTTAGTCATGAACAGATGGTGTTTGAGAGAGATGCTGGAGTTGAACGCTTCTGGACTGACCTTTTTGACCGCCCAGCAGCCTCTCAGTGCCTTTGATGAGTTTGTGTCTGTGCCCGTAAGCGTTGATCCCAATCTCCTTGAGCTCCTCGTGCCCCATGTCAGCCAGCACATCCAGTGAAATCTAATCCAACAGATGAACACCAATCAGAATTAGGGAAGCCATAGTAGTCTGGAGGCACAACCAAGCACAAGATAAAGTTGTAATGAAAAATGGCATGAAGTGATTCATTTCAAGGCCAATTTCGACTCTGCTGCTTCTGAAACAGCCAACGGTGCAATTTTTTATTTTCTCAGCTTGTTGCAATGTGGAACTTCCTCCTACTGAGAAGATATACTCTGGATATTATCGCGTGTGACTCATAACACACAGAGTGATTATTACTGAATACGCCTCCTGCATGCAACACTCACACAAAAGCAAACACGCAGATGGCAATTCGCGCATGCTAGACTGAGGCAGGGAGCCGTTTGAGCCAGCGCGCGTCTTACAGAGAGCATTAATGTTTGGCCACACTGAACAAAGCATGTGAAACCATTTTGGACCTTGATGAATATGGACAAACAGATATGTTGTCACTTTTTTGTTTGTAAACTCTAAAATAAAAATAATACATTCAAAATGTTAAAATATAGGACCTTGCAGGTCAGAGATCAACAAATCTGAACTATGCAGCAAAATAAACACAGCTACTGTTCAAAAGTTTGGGGTCAGTAAGATTTTTTTTTATTATTAATATTTTACTCAGCAATTTGTAAAATAACAGTAAAGACATTCATAATGTTACAAAAGATTTCTATTTTTAAAGAAATGCTGATCTTTTGAACTTTCTATTCATCAAAGAAACCTGAAAAAGCTGTATTGCGGTTTCCACAAAAATATTAAGCAGCACAACTGTTTTCAACATTGATAATAAAGAAAGTGTTTCTTGAGCAGCAAATCAGCATATTAGAATGATTTCTGAAAGATCATGTGACACTGAAGATTGGAGTAATGATGCCATCACAGGCATCACATATTAAAATTGAAAACATTAACAATATTTTAAACCGTATTTTTTAATTGTAAATTGTATATATTTTAAACAGAAATATTTCAATATTCAATACTGTATTTCAATTTTACAGTTTTAGTGTATTTTTTTTATCAAATAAATGCAGCTTTGGTGAGCATAAGAGGTTTTAAAAAAACAACAACAACGAAAAAAAGTTTTAAACTTTGGAACTGTAGTGCATAAATTGAAGCGAAAGAAACAGTGTGACCATCCAATTGCCGCTGACTTTGCAGCAGCCTGTGTAATCTCAAACTCTCACACTCCAGTTCCAAGGCCCACTTATTGGCAATGCATCACATATATGATAGGTCTGTCAAAGACCATTAGCCCAGGAGCTGCCAACTGCTCTCTCTCTCTTTCTCTCTCTCGCTCTCTCAGAAAGCACTGTGCACTTCAATCGATAGGGCTCGCAGGACCGACCATTATGGCTGTGAAGGTGTGATGGCTGCAGCGGGAAAGATTCCATTTATTTCTCCTTTTCTTTCTCTCTCTCTTTAACTCTCTTGGCAAAGTTTTCATTTGTGGCAAAGCTGAAAAGGAACTGCAGGACTAGTGAAAAACCTTAAAAAAATAAATAAAATCAACTAGACGGCAAGTTAATAAAGTCTTAAGTACACTAGAATAAGTAAAACTTAAGGTAACGTGTGTGTGTGTGTGTGTGTGTGTGAGTATATATATATATATATATATATATATATATATATACAGTATATATAT